GCTCAGCCACAAGCCAGGAGCCTCTTCCACCTCCGTGGCAGCACTGAGGATGTCCGAGTGCAGCTTAGCCATCAGTTAGATATCCCCTAAGGGCTCCCAGACTGCTAAAGGGCGCAAGCTGGGCTGAGGAATCCTCCCCACCCCCGCCCCCCGAGTGCACTAATGTTGTGCACCAGACCTCTAGTCTTATTATAAATTAACATAATCACAATATTGAACTCAGTACATCCAAATATCATTTCAACATGTAATCAATATGAAATAGATTCATGCGATATTTTCCATTCAATTTGTACTGAGTCTTCTGAATCCAGTGTGTATTTTATACTTACAAAACATCTCAATTTGACTTTAAGTGGCTAATCACTGATACTGGGCAGTATAGTTCTGGCTAGCTAACACTCATTGAATTTTTTTTTACATGCTATGTGCTATACCTGCATTCTTTCAATTTCTTCTCACAACTCTGCAGTTGATACTACTGTACTCATTTTACAGGTGAGCAAACTGAGACTTTAAGAGCTTAGGTTATTTGCCTGATGACAGCAATTGGGCAAGGTGGAGTTGGGACTGGGCTATAGGGCTTTAACTTCAAAACAATGTTCTACATTAAAATGAAAACCATCAGAAGAGGCCATGTCTCAGATTTCGGAGACATTTATGGGAAGATACTGAAGATTAGACACAGGGGTGGAGGCGGGTTAACAGCCGGTCACAAGGTGTCTGGAAACATGTTTGAAAGAAGGAAACATTTTGAAGCAAAATGTGGGGGAAAGGATCACCATTAATTTACCCATGAAGACACTGCTGCCCATGCCCCCTCAGAGTTCATTTCTTCCCTGCCCTGGTGTTTGTTTGGCAACTATTCAATTGCCACATTCTTAGACTGAATTCTCTTCCTTCCACTTTAAATGTCCATCTGCTACACAAAGTTTGGATAAAACTATATGCTATGGTGACTGGTCTGAATTAAGACCAGGGTCTCTGAACAACCCCGATGCCATGGAGGTCTGTAAAATATTATCCTGGTGTCATGGTGTATACACATGTGCACAAATGGCAGTTTCCTCCTTTTTCCTTCAAACAAGGTTAAAAATGAGTGAAATAGATTTCTCATTGCACTTCCCTTGTGCTTGGGGACTCAATGAACTCATTTTAAGCTTCCACGTCTTTATACAAATATTTTGTTTTTACTGAAATATGTTTTTGATCAAGAACATAATTTCATGGTTGCGTGTATGTTTCTGAAACAAATATGTATATGGAACAAGTGCACAGAGGTGGGGCTCTGCGACTCATCCCAGGACTGGATTCTTGAGTCTAACCAGGTCTTAAGAGAAGAAACCAACTTCTGTCCACACTAATCAATCTCCTACTCTCTTACATGCTCTGACTTTTGGATTTGAAGAATTGGAAATGCAATTGACCAGTTTAATTATCTTACATTCATGGAATGTCATAATCTTTAGACAAACTCTAAGCAGCATTAATTCTTTATGACACTTTTGAATGTTTACCTTATTTTTTCAGATATGTTATCTGAATATTGATATATATGGTCTTGCTTACCTGCTGTTATCCTGCAGACTAACGTTTATGTGGCAGGTAGAAGATATCCCCATAATACAGTTAAACTAACACTAATAACAACAATCCTATCTAATAAAGAGGAAATATGCTAATTGACCCTCACAACCTTGCAAAGATGGTGGCGCCCACAGCCAATAAGGAGGGAATATGCTAATTGACTGCCATGCCCTCAAAGATGGCAGCGCCTACAGCCACAAGATGGCCAGCAGGGGAGGGCAGTTAGGGGCCATCAGGCTGGCAGGGGAGCAGTTAGGCGTCGATCAGCCTGGCAAGGGAGTGGTTAGGGGGTGATCAGGCTGGCAGGCAGAAACAGTTAGGGGAAATCAGGCAGGCAGGCAGGCGAGCAGTTGGAAGCCAGCAGTCCTGGATTGTGAGAGGGATGTTGAGGGGTCCCAGATTGGAGAATGTGTAGGCTGGGCTGAGGGACACCCCCCCCAGTGCACGAATTTTGTGCACAAGGTCTCTAGTAATTTATATTTAAGAAACACTTATTAGACTTTTTAAGACTGCTTTACACACATCTCACTTAATTCTAATGACAGGAGTGGTAGGTACTGTCTCCATTTTATAAATGAGCACACCAGCTTGTCTAAAGTTGCTAACCAGGACTTGAATTAAGGTGAGTCTCATTCTACCAGTGCTTGTAATGAGGCTGCCTCAGATAGTTACAGTACTGCACTACTACAACACTGTGCCAAACTTATAGGAAGAGTTCTTGGTAGCCTCATAATCAATGGTGATATATACACAATAGAAGATCACTTAGCAATAAAAAGGAATGATATCTTGATATTTATAACAACATGGATGGACCTAGAAAGAATTATGCTAGGAAATAAGTCAGACAGAAAGACAAATACCATATGATTTCACTTATATATATGGAATCTATAAAACCAAAACAAATGAATAAACAAAATAAAACAGAAACAGATGCATAGATGTAGAGAATAAGGTGGTGGTTGCCAAAAGGGAGGATGGTGCGTGATGAAGTAAAAAGTAAATAAATAAATAAATAAATAAATAAATAAATAAAAATTTTAAAGGGGAAATGATCATGGCAAATGTCTCCCCTGAGAGAGGCAATATCATCCTATATAATAAAAGGCTAATAGACTGAACAGTGGAATAACCAAACAACTGAACAACAGGTTGCTATGATGTGTGTTGACCACCAGAGGGCATGTGCAGAGCATGGCAGGCATCAGCCACGGTGAGATGGTGAAGCAGGTTAGCAGGGGCTCCAGACCAAGGCAGGGCACTGGTAACTATCATCACGGCGAGCCTCTGGTGGTTACCAAAAATTATTTGCTCACACATGCCATGGGCCCATCTGGTGCTCACATCTGCTGCCAGCACTGGAGCCACTGCTTGCACCCTCTGCTGGTGCCTAGTGCCGGCACTCGATCACTTGGCGCAGTCAGTGGGTGTGAGTGGCAGCTGATGGCCCCGATTGCCCCTGAGGGCTTCTCCACCTCCCCCTGCTCCTGAGGGGCAATCGGGGCAGCAGCCGCTACTCGCAGCTGCTGCTGGTCCCGACCCCTATTGCTCTTCATCATCAGCAGGTGCGAGTGGGGTCAGTGCCATCAGCTCACGTTTGTGGTGGCAGTGGGTATAGCGGGAGCAGGGCTGCCAGCAGACAGGGAACCAGGGGCCGAAGTGGGAGGGGCAGGGTGGAGGTGTGGAGGATGGGCCAAGACCTGTCCCTAGCCATGTGGCTCACAGTTCCTTTCAAGGTGCACAAATTCATGCATTGGGTCCTTAGTTATAATAATAATAATGCTAAACCAAGTTGTTTAAATATATAAAAGATAGTTGATAAAACACAATTCAATGGCATTTGGTACTTTCACAAAGTTGTGCAACCACCAACTCTATCTAATTTCCAAATGTTTCTATCATTCCAAAGCAAAACCCCACACCCATTAAGCAATTTCCCCATTCTTCCACACCTCCAGCTTCTGGCAAAGACATATCTGCATTCTGCCTTATGGATTTACCCATTCTGGATATTTCATATAAATAGAATCATACGCCACCTTTTATTTCTGGCTTCTTTCATTTACCATAATGTTTTCAAGTCTCACCTACACAGTAGCATGTATCATTCCTTTATATGGCTAAATAATATTCTATTGTATGGATATACTCATCAGAAACAGTTGAGCTGTTTCTTTCCTTGCCATTCTCCTATTATAAACATGCATGTACATGTACCTGTTTGAGTACCTGTTTTTAATTATTTTGGCTATATACCTAGAAGAGGAATTGTGGGGGTACATGATATTTGTATGAATAACTTTTTGAAGAACTGCCAAACCATTTTCCACAGCAGGTGAAGCATTTTACATTCCAACCAGCAATGTAAACGGATTCCAGCTTCTCCACATCCTTGCTAACACTTGTCATTTTGTTTTTTATTATTATAACCAGCCTAGTATGTGTCAAATGGTACCACATTGTGGTTTTGATTTACAGTTTCCTAATAACTACTACTGATGTTGAGCATCTTTTCATGTGCTTGTTGGCCCACTATAGATCTTCTGAATAGAAATGTCTATCCCCTTCCTTTGTCCATTTTTATTGTTCTGTTTGAATTTGTTTTTAATTTGAAACAACACAAATATATTGTTTTTACAGTTGCTGAGGTCCAAAGTTTAAAGTGGGTAAGACAGGGTACATGCCTTCTGGATGGTCCAGAGGAGGGTTACTGGAAAGGGGACCCGGCCCTTAGAAGGTCTCCCTGGGGTGGACCAGTAGTGGATGGGTTCTTGACTTTGAGCAGAAAAACATTCACAAAAGGAGTCCAGGTGAATTTTAGAGGGCATTTATTAAAGCTGAGGACAATGAAACAAGGAAGGGCCTAAGGTAACAGGAGAGGGATTAGGTGGGGCTGCTTTGGCTCACTAAGAAGTCAGAGAAAAGGAGGCTTTGGGGACAGGTTCAGAGGGTTTACCTGGGAGGAACTGCCACTTCTCATTGCTTCCATGGTCCCTTCTTGTTTGGCTTTTTGTTGTTGAGCTGTAATTTATATATTCTGATACTATATTTAATCAGTTATATGATTTCCAAACATTTTCTCCATTCTATAGGTTGTACAGACTTTCTTAATAATGTCCTAGGACACACAAAATATTTTAATTTAATTTTGATGAAGTCGTTTATCTATTTTATCAATTTAATCTATTTTTTTTCCCATTTGGTTCGTGCCCTTTCAGTGTCATATCTAAGAATCCATCTCCAAATCCAAGGCCATGAAGATTTTACCCCTTTGTCTTCTTCTAAGAATTTCATGATTATAGCTCTTATATTTAGGTCATTAATTCATGTTGAGTGAATTTTTATACATGGTGTGAGGTAAAGGTCCTGTTTGCTCTTGTTTAGTCTCTTTTTTTTTTCTTCCTTCCTAGGAAACCTTGAAAGCAAGGGACTGCATATTTTTAACCTGACTTCTTTAACCAAATCTGAAAACATTTTATCTGCCGCACTATATTTCTATATTGGAGAGCTGATTAACATCAGCCTGAGTTGTCCAGGATCAAGAAGATGCTCACATCATGCTCAGAGGAAACATATTCAGATCGATATCACTGCATGGATCCTCAAATCCAACAGAGACCAAAGTCAACTCCTGGGTCATCTTTCGGCAGACGTGGGCAGACCTCATCGAGATCTTGTGTCTTGGCTGTCTAAAGACATCACTCAACTCTTGAAGAAGGCTAAGGAAAGTGAGGAGTTCCTCTTAGGATTTAATATAACCTCCAAAGGACACCAGCTGCCAAAGGAGATGTTATCCTTTCCTGACCCTTATATCTTGGTATATGCCAACGATGCTGCCATTTCTGAGCCGGAGAGTGTGGTATCAAGCTTACAAGGTCACCGAAATTTTCCCACTGGAGCTGTGCCCAAATTGGATAGCCATATTAGGGCTGCCCTTTCTATGAAACAGAGGAAGAAGCGTTCTACTGGGGTCCTGCTCCCTTTGCAGAACAATGAGCTTCCTGGAGCAGAATATCAGTATAAGGAGGATGGGGTATGGGAGGAGAGAAAGCCATACAAGACCCTTCAGACTCAGCCCCCTGAGAAGAGTAAGAACAAGAAGAAACAGAGAAAGGGACCTCACCAGAAGAGCCAGACGCTCCAGTTTGATGAACAGACGCTGAAGAAGGCAAGAAGAAAGCAATGGATTGAACCTCGAAATTGTGCCAGGCGATACCTTAAGGTGGACTTTGCGGATATTGGCTGGAGTGAATGGATTATCTCCCCCAAGTCCTTTGATGCCTATTATTGCTCGGGAGCATGCCAATTCCCCATGCCAAAGGTAGCCATTGTTCTTTGTCCTGTTCTTCCTATTTCCATAGAGTCAGCAAGACATATCGACTAAGTTGTGTGTTTTCCTTTATATATCCACCTGGGTGCTTATTTATTACATTCTAAAGTGTAATAGGTAATATGGCTATGCTTTGTTTTTCCTTAATGGTTGTTAAATTAATAAGAAGTCCGTATTGGTACAAAGAGGGATATGAGAAAAACATGTGTAAAATATGTATTTGTGTGTGTATATGTTGCTTCCAAACATAGTGCATATTCAGCTACATGGCCTATTCAGCTATGTGAATCTATACCTGCCTACAATCAGCAAATCCCAAATGGTGGAAGGCTGATCTTGGAGGGGGTATTCAGAGAATGAGTGGTTGTCATGGGAACATATGGAAGGACTAATTGGATTGATGTCCTGATGCAGAATATTTTTTGATAGTCTCTTCTGAGATGAATTATTCCCACGGGAGTCAGGATCAGGGTTGGGCCAGGTAAACTCACCTCATGAAATCCACCAGATGGTTATTCATTTGCTTCCCTGATACACATCAAAAAGAAAGGATACAGTGACTCTGGGATCTTCTCCCAAGACTCATTTCAACCAATCAGAGTTTACCTGTGTCTCTCACAATCAATGGGGACTGTACTTCATCATATCAGTCCTCAGTATTCTGACAAATATATTTTCAGAAGCCTCCCCAGCCCCACCTCCATCTTGCACACAAGTTCAAGTGACTGTTCTTTTTGAATTTATAGCCAGTAAAATACAGTGGGGCCCTCTACCTTCAGGTAAGCTTGTTGCTGCACTTCCATTCTTAGCTTATCACAGTTTGAATTCCTGTTTTAGAATGGAAAGTGGTTCTAGGAATAAAATTCAGAGGAGGCATAGAGGTTTTGTTTTTGTTTTTCAAAACTTAAAGTGAATCAACTTTCGCTGTTGGATACGAATGCATAAAAAAATCCTTTACCTCAAAGAGTAACCAACTTCTGTTTATAGACTGTTAAAGTAGCATGTTCATATTTCATTCCTGTGATCACTGAGATGCTAAACCTACACATGCTTAAAGCGAAAGGCCCACAGATTGAATGAAGCCATGTCAGCCTCAGGGTGAGGAACTTGCTTGAAATTCCATTTTCTTGTTAGAATGTGTCAGAAGGACAAGCTTTCTACATCTTCTAAGACTTTCCCAAAGAATTTTTTTGTTGTTGCAGATTCCATATTTTGTAAACCCAAACACAAAGTAAATATTATATACCTTTACAATTATAGAAAAGCCTTATCTTCCCTAATATTCATAAAGGACATTTCACTGATCAAACAAAAGTTGTTGGAACTGGGAAAGCATTGAAAACACACCATGATAGTGCCAAATGTAACAGGCAGCACTGAGTACTCTACAGAGTGCTTTGCTCTGTGGTGTTGAGAGACGAAAGGGATTCAAGATCTGTCTCTGAACCCAGGGTGACTGATTCTAAGCGGGCCTCTGAGTCTTCCAAGTAACCGCTCTCACTCTCATAGATGTGAGTTCTCGGGTAGCCTGGAGAAGGAGTTTTTCTCTGCCCCCCTGACTCCGGGTTTCAGGGCCTAGGGAGCCATGATAATGTGGAGTCAGTTAACTTTTCCACCCCTAACTCTGGAGACCTGGCCTGGTCTCTATCCCCCCAAATTACCCCATTTCTTGTTGGCTCTGCCTGCTTTAACTGTTCAAAACCTTTGCTATTGCTTCAGCAGAAGTCTACCACGGTTCTCCGTGACCTAAAGGATAATAATTTAAACACTTATGAGGGCTAAGTTAAGCCTAGTGGGGACATGTTTAAGGAGAGAAGTATGTTAATGCAGCAGAATGATTAAAGGAACATGCTTGGTCATAGCTGGGCTTCCTAACCTTAATGTGCCTGCAGCTCACTTGGGGATCATGTTAACATGCAGGACCTATTCCAGTGGCTCTGGGGTAGAGCCTATGATTCTGCATTTCTAACAAGCTCATAGACATTGCTAATGCTGATGGCCCAGAAGTCACACTCTGAGAAGTAAATTTGAGAGTCAAATCCTTGGTTCCCCCTCTTACCAGATGTGTTAGTATGTTAGTTTTCTCATTTGTGAAATGGATACAATAATAAATACTAATAACAACAGTGTCTGTATAATAAACACTGTGAAAGAAAGAGATGCTAGAGCACCTTGCACATAGTAGGCGCTCCATGAATATTTGCTACTGAATATCATTATTAATGGCCACTACTGAGACTGAGGGTAACAGAAAATTACATGTAGGGGCTGAAGAAAGACCCCACAGGGAAAGGGATCAAGAGAGTAAAAGATGTAAGACAAGAGAAAGTTTTGTAAATGTTTCTAGTCCCTTTTTAAACATCACAAAGCTTAAATAGGATCCTCTCTGTGGGTTCAACAGCCCGTGAGCTCTTCCAGTGATGTATCTTTGGAGAATAATAGAATCAGGAGAGCATTGATTGCAGCAACTGAACCCATCATAATATTTGTCAAAACTTGGAATGGCATCAGAACTCCAGGGAGACATAACAGGGATAACTGTGGAGTATTCTCCTTGAGCTTGAGGTTCCCTTTGCCAAGTAGAGAGTGGAAGTTTGGCTGTTACATGGAGTTCTCAGCCTCTCATCACCTAGTGTGGATCTGCTGAACTTGTAAAGCATCCTGGTGGCTCCCTTTAAGGCTTTGTGGCTTTCAAGCGGTACAGTCACTGAAAGGATGGGAAACATAAAGCAATGCGAAGCTGCTCCATTAGGGATAATTAATCAGCACCGCTGTTATCAGCACAATGTCCAACACGGTCACCAGAGTGAGCTGTTTAAATAGAAATATAGTCCAAGCAACAGAGGAAAATCAGGTCTCTGACCAGATCAGTGCAAACACATGTGGAATAACTGAAGCGCCAAAAAACTTTCAGACTTTAGATATACATTTTGCCCCAGAGAAAAGTCCTCCCAGGCCAGGACTGCTGGCCCTCCTCCTTTGTGGCCTCCCGAGCGAAAGCCTGCTCTATACAGCGGGACTCTGTGTCTGCAAAAGTCGACAACCTGTCCTGTAATTCAGAACAGCTGTGTTCTGCCTTTCCCAAATTCCAGGCTTTGCCCTTTCACTGATTCCAATTAGATAGTTTCTGGGCTATCACACCCATGTGGGCTGGACTGGAAGAGTGTGGAGCAAAACCCCATGGCCCGGGTCAGGAATGAAGGCTCGTAGCTGATGACATACTCTCCCCTGCTAATGCATTTATAATCAAATTCAACTCCAGGACATCATACACAGCTTGGCAGGTGCAAGCGGGCCTGACCACTGCAGATTTCATTCGCAGGCATGGCAGTTTGGATTTTTCTGATTTCTAGCCCCTACAGCCAATCTGTTCTCCCAGGGAGAGACCCCTGGAATTCCGCCATGAGATGAAAAATACCCATGTAGCTAAAGCCAAGCCGTATGCCTTCGCTTCTCTTCTCACCACCTTCCCAAAGATGGAAAACAGAGATTTCAAATGAAAATGATTGAACTGTTGTTGCTGACAGAGATTCCAGAGAACCAACAAGGATTAGAAGAATGAAGTGATTTTTGCATGGAATAGTGCAAAAGCTAGGACTAGCAAAGACACAGAATTAGGCAGCAAAGAATCTATATACTTTGAACCAAACATCCTATACACTATAAAAAAAATTCACATATAATGAGTTCATAATAACACACCCTCGATTAATTTCCTGAGTTTTCCAATTCCAATCGCTGTTCATAATTATGAGTTCTAAAAATCCTAACTTTTGATGTACTGAGTTACCTAAGCAAAAAGAAATCACCCAAACTGATGAAGTCATGTGTCATCCTCATTAAATAGGGAGACTGGAGCCTGGCTGCTGTGGCTCAGTTGGTTGGAGCATCATCCTGTGCACCAAAAAGTGGCAGGTTCAATTCCCAGTCAGGGCTCACACTCACATTGCGGGTTTGATCCTGGATGGGAGGCAGCCAGTTGATGTTTCTCTCTCACATTGATGCATCTCTCTCTCTCTCCCTTCCTCTCTCTAAAATTAATTTTAAAGGGAGAGGTGAGGGAGCCTGGGGAGGGAAATAACACAGATTTGCATTTGTGATTGATATATTTTCCCAACTACATAAAGAGTCATGAGAAATATGAACAGAACTCAAAAACAAACAAAAATGATAGAATGGCCATATGCTTCAGATGAGCAAATTACTGCATGGATCTTTCGTGGGTGACATAATCATTCCTGGTAATGGCAGCTTGATCAGAGTATTCCACAGTGAGAAAAAAAGGAGGGAAACTCCCAGGAAAACTGAGCGGTTCCTGATAAAACATACCAGCCTAGAATCATGGGTTAGAGCTGAATTCCCTGAGCCCACCAAAGACTGCTCACTGTTTCTGAATCTATCGCTTGTGAGTTAGTTTTAAAAAGGATAGGAATGTTCCTAGGGAACACCCATGAATATTTTCCATATCTACTCCGGGTCACTTGAACCTTTTGTTTTTGTTGTTGGGAATTATTTCCATAGAAATAGGTAAAATGGAGGGTATGCTATTTCTTATAAGTTTTTCATTCACTTCGTATTTATTCAGCCTAAAGCATGCCCGGTCACAGGCACCAAGGAATAATGATGCAGAGCAGCACTTATCATGCAAGGCCTCATCTACTTAAGTAGATCCACTTCCTATGAAATGTAAATATTATAAAAGCCATTAAAACACTAACAATAACAGAATAATGTTGGGAAAACCTATCCATTAAAAAAACTCCTTAGGGGCATTATCATAAGCTGTTTTGGATGACTGAGTGGTGATAAATCAATAGAGAAAAGTAAATTACTGCAACCATTTTCTTTGGGAATTACCAATACTTGTGAAATAAACAGTGGCCCATTGACCTCTATTGTACAATACCCACTGCGGTGTGTGTCAGTTACACAGGTTTTATTGATGTTGGAGAGCACATGACATGTCAAATAGAACAACATGAACTTCCTCTCTTTAAAGGGGAAATAGCTTTCTTTGCAAAGCTAATTAATTGAAAGATAGCCTTCTTTTTAGCACATCCTTAAAATATCTAAGAAGAGAGAGTAAGAAACAGTTGCCTATCAAGACTAATTTTTAAAAAATTTATGCCTATTCATGATGATGTTGAAGTCTAACATATGGGTAATTGTTTTCATTAAAATTGAAAGATGGCATGAGACCAATCAGACTTCTTTCTCTGACAAAAGAATTATTTTATAAAATATATGGTATGCCATCTTTCTGTATTATTTGCTTTTCCCTGGACTTATATATACCCTTAACCTTTTAACTTTTTCCAGTTTCTCATACTGGGAGTTTTAGGAGCATGAAATTGAAAAATACAAATTCTTTGGGGCAGAGCCCCTGAGCCATGAGAAACATGGTTCAAAATCCTGAATTAAAAAGCCAGAGTTTTGGCCTAAATCCTACTCCTGAATTCATACGTGATCTCTGGCAAGTTACCAAATTTCTGTTTTAAAATATGCTTAAAACAATACTGGATTCACCTGCATAAAGAAGACATTGGGGAGAACTAACGTTGAAAAGCATGGCATTTCTCATGAAGTTCCCACCGCTCTGGCAGTACCTAAACACCCAGGGCTTGGAAAAGTGACTGCCTTTCAGTGCTAAGCAGAGCTGTATGGCACTCTCTAAACAAAACCACATGTTTCACATGGATGATAATGGTCTCGCTTGGCATTTTCTCAGGAATAGATTTTACCCAGGCTTCTTTGGTCAAACTTCTGACATCCATGGGAAAAATAGGTCCCCTAAATTATTCCCCTAGGATATGACCCACTCTTAAAATATTATTAACTTTACCACATTGAAGTGTGAACCCATGGTGCCACAGTGACCCCCAGTGGCCAATGGTGTGGTCTTCGTAACCCCAGTTTGTGCCTGGAAGGAGAGGTGAACAATTATATAGTGGAGTAATCGCCATCTCATTAATCCTGGTGGCAACTATTAAAGAAGTCAATGTCCCCTGACATGGTTATTTTATTTTAACAACAAACTGTAGATATCACTATAGTTGTAGCAATAATGCATCAATGTTAAATAGGGTGCTTTTTGGGTTCTTTAAGATTAGCATAAGATTTAGAACAAGTGCTTTTGTTGCAAGCCTATTATTGAAAACATCCTAGGATATATTAATCCCATTTGGGGACTAAGTTTTTTTTAATTAAAGGATTCTTGCTTAGATAACTGGATTCAAATCCTCACTCTACCACTTAATATCTACTTGACTTTTGACATGTCAGTTAAGCTTCTTGTGTCTATTTCTTACCTGTAAAATGTAAGAAATGTTAACTTTGTTGTGGGAATAGAGATACTACATATAGCATGCCTGATACATAGCTGGCACTTAATAAATGATAACCACTTTGGTGATGGTGGCTTAGGAGACTGGCTGAATGTGTAATGATGCCAGGGCTATATTAAACTGTCAAAAGAAATTCATAATGTATGCATTTTAATGATGAGGGGTGGAGTGGAAAAACTGTTTTATTTAACTTCTGTGTTCTTCTCCGATTTATTTTCTAGTCTTTGAAGCCTTCAAACCATGCTACCATCCAGAGCATAGTGAGAGCTGTGGGGGTCGTTCCTGGAATACCTGAGCCTTGCTGTGTACCAGAAAAGATGTCCTCGCTCAGTATCTTATTCTTTGATGAAAATAAGAATGTGGTACTTAAAGTATATCCTAACATGACAGTAGAGTCTTGTGCTTGCAGATAACCTGGCAAAGAACTCATTTGAATGCTTAATTCAATCAGTTTATTTTTATGGACTTTTTTTTTTTTTGCACTGCCAACTCATTTTATTCTAAAGGATTTATTAATAGTCAAAGGAGAATGAGCAAACAGACTGGCAATTTCTACCAAGGAGAACTGGACTGTGTTTGTTTCTGAATGTAACTAAAAGCAAAAATTTAGTAAATATGGACATCTATTTCTTATTTTTTAACCACATGAGGAAAATGATAATTCAAACTGTTTTTAGAAATGCTAGAGAACATGGTGATTTATTTTTGTAATGGGCTTTGAAACTAGATTGGAAAAACAATGATAGCTTATCATTTATCTCTAATCATAGAGAATAAAATAATTTCGTATTTTGAAGTAGGCTAATCGCCTTACATTCCTGAGCAACTCAGTAAGTACTAAATAATCCAATCAGCTTTGATGTTTATCGTAAGGATTTTTGAGACTCTTGTTTACCTGTGCTTTTCTGCACATGGCATCATGTGACGAGTTGTGTGGAGAGTGTGTGCTGAGTGTTAGTGTATACGTATGTGTGTGTGCATACTGCCAGGTGCCTGTGCCCTCTGTGGGAAGGTTTGCCTAACATGATTTTATAATTCGGTCTACACAGGATTCTTTGTTTTTTTAATGTTCTGGCAAGCACCATTCAATTATGAGAACTTTACCAAAAAAGGATAGAGTGGTCCAAGAGCATATGCAGAGAGTTACCACTTGGCCCAGCCATTTAATTGGAAATACGGTTGTTTTCATTTCATTGCCTCCCAGAAAAGGAAAGCAGCAACCCAATTTTCCAAAACCCAGATGTAATTCCTCTTCTATACCCCTTTTCCATAAGTGCTTTAGTTTGTTCTTTCAAATTGAATTCAAAAATCCTTCCTGAAGTCATTAAATTTTTAGTTCTCTTGTTATGCTTTTACTTGCTATAAAGTAATCAATAGATACTGAGGCTCAAAAACTTGTGGGATATTGGAGATTTCCTTATCATTCATTATCATTCTTCGGCCACATTCAGGTCCAGGCACTTTTTCACATGGACCAAGGCTTTTGACTCAGAAGTGGAAGTTATTCTTTAGCAAAAGTCACTAAAAATTATCCATCAAGAAAGGGAGTCAAATATATAAACACTTTGTGTGTTTTTTTCCCATTTCCATTTGTCAAAAACATTCTCCCTTATTCTTTTGCCCTTTTTATTGTCTCAAAAATCTTTCACTGGCTATATTTACCAATGTGAAAACATTCAGAAATTGTTACACCCAATGGATTGTTGTTGATGTTATATCTGTGGTTAAATTAATGCTCATCTTAGTTCAATCTCACCTGATGAGAGACAACTAAGCTATTTCAGAGGCTGTGAAGTATTAGAAGACAAGGAGTTTTGTTGTTCTGTCTCTGACTATAACTGTCTATGGTGGTTCATCATTTAATAAATGTTCATTAAGCATCTACTTTGTAAAAGACACTGTGTTAGCCATGTGTCTTTAGTGTCTAAAATGAAGAGGCTGTCTAGCTGAGCTGAAAAGCCCTTCTGGTACTGAAAATTTAGGTTTATAATATTAGCTATTTCATTTAATAGATGACCATGAGATCTTAAAACACTGCAAATATCTCTGTTCATAAACCAAATGCAACACATTCTTTGCCTCACTGCTGGGAGTGTGGAATTCCCTGCATAAGTGGTGCTTCTATCTTATTGGAAACCCGTTTAAGAAAAGTACCATGAAAAGCAGCTCTCTGATACTGTGGGAATTCACAGAGGTTGGTGCTCATGTGTGGTAACTCTGTGAAGGAGACACACCAGTTCTAAACAATAAATTAAGTTCTGGAGCTTGAGTTACTATGTTGCTTATAGTTCATTTGTCTGTTCTGGTAGCATAAAGTTTAAAGATTCAAAATGAGCTAGGTGATGAAATTACTTTTTTAAAAAATTTATAAAAAAATTGAAAGCAAAATTATATATAGAAGCAAGCCAGCATGTAGCCACCTGTCACACCATTTTTAAATAAGGAAAACTTCTGTTTCATTGGTAGAGCTGATGAAGTTTTTAATTAGTTTTTTCTAGATGTAGTTCAACCAAACCTCTAGTAACTCCCAGTATTACTTCTCAGTCTTCTTCTATCCAGATGTTTCTTTATGGCCTTTCTTAATTGGAATTGGTGCCTACTTACTACTAATTAAGCCCTAAAATGGCCAATTTATATGACAAATCGTAGTGAAAGGGTTTGGGTAGTCTCTTGGCAATCAAAAAAGTTTTTGACTAGTAGTTATTTTTGGGTGGCCACGTAACCATCATTTTACTACTACATTGAGGACATATTATGGTATCAATAGGAAACGTTTTAGTCCCAAAGAATAAAAGGAAGATTACTTTCCATCAGTGGGGGTTGAAATTAATGAGTTAATATTTTAATTAATAAAAATTTACTTGAAATAGTTTGAAAATTAAATGACTATTTCACAATTGGTTAGGTACCAGTGTCTGTGTAACTACTACATAGACTTTTTATAAGTCTCCTGATATAAAAGTGGGAGTGGTGAAAAGAGAAATTACGGTATAATGCCATTTCCTAAGTCATGCATCTGTCTCTCTATCTCTCCCCCTAAGCCTCCTCTCACTCCTGATATCTGTTTGTCTCTATCTGGTCCCTGTCTGTCTCTATCCCAACTCCCAGCCACCCCCACTTCTAGATGCAAGACACACAGGCACAAACAGTCACTCAAAAATGTTTTTTTTTTCAATAATCACTCTCTTGAATTCAAATTCAGGAGCTGCCAGTGTCAATATAGTATTTTCCAAGTATTTTTACCATAACCTATGTAAATAATATATGATTACAGGATTTGGGGGTTATAGAATTGAAACTAGAAGATTGGGTTCCCCAGATCGCAGAACTACAATATTCCAGATCCATTTTTACATTTACCTAGCTACATATTAACTGCTGGTCATATATCCAATAAGATCAGATTTTTACCTTAATGTTTCTGAAAAACTCTTCTTGTCCATTTAATATTTTCATAGACAATCATATGTGTATAATACCATTATCAGTCTGACAAAAAAATTTTTATATAATCACATTATCCAGTTTAGTCTTTCTGCTTTCACTGTTTTCTGTGCTAACACATAACTAATGTCTGAATGTTGACTTCTTGTTGAATCAAAGTTGGGTTAAAGAACAGCTATGCACACCTGATATGTAAGATTAAATATGAGATGAAATAGGAAATCTTGGGTAGGTCTGACTTCTCTGTATAGCCTTTTTTCCCCTTGAGAATTGTATTTTAATGTAGTTTATAGGTAACTAAATGGCCTCCCTTTTCTAAGAACCAAGCCTTCCTCTCAGCTTTCCACTTAGTTTCTGTAAATGTTTTAGTTGAGAATTTAATGCTTGTACAGTGAGTGGCAATTTAAAAAATATATATTATATATGTATATGGAAAAACTTTAAAGATGCTTTTAATTTATTTAATGATTGTTGCCTTCCCATAATGGTAATAATTTTCATCCTTAGATGGTGAGAACAAGCTCTTTTACTCTAGTTATTACATGCAAAATGAAATTTGGTTTTTGTGTGTGTTTTTTCTCCGCCAAATCCACTAAAGGGGCGCATTGCAGTGAAACTGTGAAGGACGCTTCACTACTGATGTATAAGCTTGGCTGATCTGTATTCTTTCCTCCAGTAATGGAGAGTTTTTTATTATACAGTATGAAAATAAAGATTGCTTAACTGAACATTTCCCCAGAGTTGAACATTTTTAAATTCAAATGATATCATGAATGGAGTATCATGAATGGTCCATCATAATTTACTATCAACATAACATGATTAACACTGTGGAATAATGTTGAAATACACACATATGGGGGAAATCCTGATATCTTCCAAAATTCAGAAATCCAACTTTAATCATTTCTCTCTTCTCTCTCTCTCTCTCTCTCTCACTCTTTCGTCTAACCATAAACTCCACATTTCCTACTTGGAGATATTTTGTGAGGGTTTTTTTCTGGATGCCTGACTCACTATTTTAAATATAACATTATTTAATCAGTCATTGTTACTATTTTTTCATGATAAGCATTTAAATTTAATAAATATGATCATTGAGATGTATTTGATCTTTTTTTTGCCTATGGCTTTCACTTTCAAAAAGTGACCTGAGGTTAAGAAATAAAATACGCTTTTATATTATTTTCACTCATTTAATCTATCTCTGTTAGATTTATTCATACTGTGATGCTTAATTAAAAACCATAGCAGTTAGGAACCATAAAGGAGATCATTTCGAGCATATTCCCTAACCTCTCCATGCCCCATTTATCTTGCCTGTAAATTGGGGCAATCAACTTCCTGCTTTATAGGCTGGTTACAAGGTATAATAAAATAATCCATGTAAATTACTTTGCCAAGTTCCTAAAACAGAGTAACAACTTCATTACCATCAATTATTATTAATGTCTAATCTAGTCTTTCTATTTTCCAAATAAGGACATTTAGACATGCTATTTACATGTCTACACATCACATCCTCCGCTAAAAACTGGCTCCAACAGGGCTGGGTTCCTTCACACAGAACAGTGATGAGCATCTGACAGAAGCTGGCAAAGCTGCGGGGGTTACTCAGGAGCAAAGCTGCAGGGAGGGCTGTAACCACTTCCCACCATGCATGTGAACAAGTTTTAAAACCCAGAGTTGAGAGAGAGAATGAATCAGACACCACAGAGCACTGGGCCTTACAGAGTAAGAAGAGCTGCCTTGATTGCTGATGGTATCCCAGTTTCTGTTCCTGTCTTTTGTAAGAGAATAAAGAGCCATCAACAGAGGGGGAAACAGGATGTGTCTTCTACTACTCTTGCCTCTAGCAAGCTGGGCTGAAGTTGAGCCCATTTATGGACAGGTAAGGAAGTGAGTAAAAGTGATTCCCCTAACATAAATTGTGATAAGAACTGTCTTCTATCACTTAAAAAATGTTTTTATTGATTTTTTTTTTTTTTAGAGAGAGAGAAGAAGGGAGAGGGAGAGAGATAGAAACATCTGATGAGAGAGAAACATTAAAGAGCTGCCTCCTACACGCCCCCTACTGGGAATCAAGCAGCAACCCTGTCATGTGCCCTGACGGGGGGAATCAAACTGTGACCTCCTGGTTCATGGGTCCTCATTCAACCACTGAACACCACACAGGCCAGATCGCCTATCACTTTTTAAACTATAATGAATATTTATTATGAATCTAAAAGAAGCAAACACGATATACAGTAATCATTTTGTGTAGCGGTTGGAATTCGTTTTTGTAAGAATTTCCTGCCCTGTTGACTGTGCCCATTTTCTCCAGGCTCATCAGAGGATGTGGAAAGAAAA